TCTGTAATGTTGACTACTGTCAAGCCTAACCCTTCCCTCACCAAGACCAATTCTGCATCTAGCATTCGCTCCACATTTTCTCAACTGGGGAGGGAAACGTGCAGCTCAAAACCACATTCAAATACCTCGGGGCAATGCCATAAAACTATGCAGAAGGTTCAATAAAATCCGAGGCTCAAAAAGCTCGAAAGTGGCATGCAGTCTGGAGGGTAACATAAAACCCGATAATCAAAGGAGGTGAAACCAGCATGCAATGCAGAGGGGAATTTCTGTTCCAACGTGCGTTTCGTGAAAGAACGGAGGGAAAAGCTAATGCAGAATCAGCCTAAGACTACCGGTTTCTAATGACAAATGATGGGCCTGGCTGTTGAATATCTGCTGTGTGGAGATTGGGGTTGCCAATTCCAGGTTGTAAAATTCCTAGAGATTTGAGTGCAGGACTTGGTGATGGAGGAGTTTAGGAGCTCAGCAGGGCTGTGATGCCATAGAGTCAGTCCTCCAATCTGCTTGAGCTTAATGAGTCTGTCCACTGGACACTCAAAATCTATTGCCTGTGAGGTTCTCTTCGCCTCTTGGTGGAGCTGCCTCTGGTCAAAATGGTAGTGAGATATTTCTACTTGGTGTTTGGGGATATAAATTAAGGGGAAGTTAAGGAGACAGCAAAACCCACTTGAAGCGATGTTTCATCGGGGACAAGCTTCGTTAAGCCTCTCAGAAGCCCAGGCCTTGTTTCATTTGGAACAAAAAGGAGGAATCCATTACAATCTTTATATAATGTCACCGGGGAGAACACTGGAAATACGAGCGTGGCATGAAAACTTTGCAGGAGAAGCATGTTACAAAACGTTTTTGTTCTTACAAGCTGTCTTGAGAAGGAAAGATGTGTAACCGTAGAGTTTTCCCTCGGATGACCGTGGCCCCGCCCCCAGCATGCCCGGCGACGTCACGTCACTTCCGGGTGACGCGCACGTTGGGGTGGGGTTCCCCCCGGGCCCAATCCGCCAGCGGCGGGGAACGGGCCCCTAGGGCGGGGTTTTCCCCGCCCCCCAGGGGGACTTGGCAAGCCTAGAGTACGCCCTCAGAAAAACACAAAGCTACACAATCTCAGATGCATAAAATATGTGGTGTAAGCCGCAATGTGGGATATCTGTGGTAGGAGAGGGATAGGAACTCGGAGGGTGGTCCATGTTTCAGGGCCAGCTGTAGACTACTCTCCTAGGGCTTTTTTTGTAGCAGGAACTCCTTTGCATGTTAGGTGACACACCCCTAATGTAGCCAATCCTCCAAGAGTTTACAGAGCTCTTCTTACAGGGGCTACTGTAAGCTCTTGGAGGATTGGTTACATTAGGGGTGTGTTGCCTAATATGCAAAGGAGCTCCTGCTACAAAAAGAGCCCTGCCGGGGGAGTCCTATCACATCTATCTTCATTTCATAGTTTACTGTGACCTTACCTCCCTCTGCAGACAGGCCAGATGCTGCTTTCAGATTATCATGAACCAAAAAAAAAAATTGTCGCATGCTCCACGAGTAGTACAGTAGGGCTTGGAATAGAGACTTATGGTGTCTTTATAAAGGTTTTTTTTTTTAATTCACAGATATACAGATAGAAACAAGCAGGCACCTAAAAACAGGAAGCAACAATCACATCCCCAGACAGGGATATGCCCCGAGTCACCTCACCATGGCCATCTTAATGCTCTTGCTCACCTTCTTTTTTACCTCAGTTGAAAACAAACAGACAACAAAATCCCACTTCTGAAGGTTACGGCCATGAGGAACATTATTATTTCCTCCCATCCCGTCAAGCTACCCATGACAGCCCATGTGATTCCGTAGTTAACGTGTCAGAGTAAATCTGAAGAGTCAGGGTTTCTCAAAACCATCGGAGCTCATGTAGGACAACCATTCTTTCTTAGCTTTAAACACCCTGTGAAGAGGTGTGAGGGGAAAAACGAAGGAGGAGAAAATTATTATTATTATTATTAGTTTCAATTTATATCCCGGGTGTGCTCTTTAGAGAAAGAGTAGGATTAAAATGTAGTATAGGTTTATTTCAGCAAAACCAGAGTGAGACACCTATTCATACTACTCAGAAAGCCCCAAACTCAACAGTGTTTATTGGTGCAAATGAAATAAATACAACATTGATTATTGACAGTACCATCCTAAGAACACCTTTCAGAGACTAGGTAAAAAGGTAAACATTCCCTTGCTCGAAAGCCAGTCGAGTCCGACTCTAGGGTTGCGGTGCTCATCTCCATTTCAAAGCCGAAGAGCCAGCGCTGTCCAAAGACATTGGCATGACTAAACACCAAGGCGCACGGAACACTGTTACCTTCCCACCGAAGTGGTACCTATTTATCTACTTGCAATTTCTTGCTTTCGAACTGCTAGGTTGGCAGGAGCTGGAACTAGAGACGGGAGCTCACTCTGTCATGCGGCACACTTTGGTCTCGAACTGCTGAACTACCGACCTTCCACAGCCTGCAGGTCATCGTCTTAACCACTTGAGCCACCACAGCTCCACTTAATAGACCTGAGTAGGGTTCTGGGTAAAGCTTTCTAGGATTGCTCTCTGATATAATCTTATATCCCATTCTTCCTTCAGGCTTCTCAGGGAAGCATAGGTGGTTTCTGCTCTTATGGTCTGAAAGTTAGGGCAATCATCACAACAGCCCTGTGAGGTAGTTAGATAGAGATGGTGGTTGGCCAAAGGTCAGGAGGAGGATTCCTATCTGCTCTGTGTCCAACCCTACCTCTGCTATAGCACAGTAACTCTCCAAAAGTACCCCATGACCCCAAGCACTAAATGCCGTTTTCACACAAGCAAGACTAATGCATGGAAAATTCCTTTTGTGTGGGGAGAAAACTCGTGCAAAAATCATCACGTGTGACAATCTTTTACCTGTTACACTGCACGTATAAGCCTCAGCAACTGCCCTTTCCCAGTTCTGCAAGACAGCTATTTCGCTCAGAAATAAAAGAAGGCGACTTCCGGCCACGGCGGCGCGAATGGCGACCGGGTCTCGGGACACTCCCGGAGCCGGATCGCCCAAGTGCAGTCTGGGGGGGGGAGTCCCGCGTATGCGGAGACCCTAAGGAGCCTTGGTGAAAAGGCTCCGAACCAGGGGGTGCTTTGGGGAAAATCCTCTTGCCGACCAGGTCGGGAATTGAGGCTCCCCCTCTACCCCAAACGGCCCCGGCTGCGACTTGCCCCTCATGGGGACTAGGAACGCCACCGGAACAGCGGAGTGATGGAGCGATAAAGTTAAATTGCGAAGAGAAGCATAAGCGACTAACTGTGAGTTGGAGATCAACATAAGAGTTGCGGCTTGAGCGAGCTCCGTCCCCCGGGAGACTGAGAGGGAGGAGGGAGGATTCCCCCCCACTCTAGAAAAGAGACTTTTAAAAGCGGAGGGGGGGGGCGAAGCCAAGATTTGCATAAGCATATTACCTTTTGGAAGGGAGTTGAAAGTGGAGAAGAGGGAGGCATCCCTGAGTAGCGCAGCACGAACTTCTAAAGTATAAACAAAAACCGAAAATGGTGATGCAGAAAAAGTTTTTGAAGAGGCAGACAAAGAAGATGGGAGGAACTTCCTGTCAGAGTCCCTCCCCTGCTGGGACTGCTGTCAATCAACAAGAAAGTGATCTTGCGCGCCATCTGCTGGAGGAACTGCAGAAAATCAACCAAAAGCTGGATAGTATGGAAAGTGCTTATAGTGTTCAACAGAAAAAAATGACTGAGACTGCCGACAAGGTAGATGATATTGCAAAGAAGTGTCTGGTGTCAACAGAGGAAATACAGAAAGTTAAGAAGAAAGTCGTTAAAGTGGAAAAACACCAAGTGAAGCAGGGCAATAAACTATTATTGCTTCAAATGGAAAAATCGAACCTGACTCTTCGTTTCCAAGGGTTGAAGGAAGAAGATCAAGAAGACCTCAGAGACATTTTGGCAACGGCGTTGACACCACTGATTGGCAGCAAAGCGGAAAAAGTAAAAGAGATGGATTTGGCCTATAGAGCCTACGCTAATTTTACAAAGAAGAATAAGCTGCCGGCTGAAGTGGTAGTGAAATTTACCAAGCAACGTCTCCGGGATCAAATTTTAAAAGCAGTATCAGCAACACCCTTGAAAATTGGAGATCAACCGATCAGAATTTTGAAAGATATTCCGTTTGAAATTAGAATGAAAAGAAAAGAATACAAAGGTCTGACTATGTTCTTACAAAACTATCAAATTAGTTACAGGTGGTTGGTGCCAGAAGGGCTGGTCTTTAAGTTTAAAGACAGAAGAGAAAAGATTGACTCTATCCTGAAGGCACAAGATTTTTTGAAAAGGCACGCCAGTACAGAAGAAGAAGCAGAACTCGCCAAGTGGATGTCGGGAGCAAGCGAAGAAGACAGCAGCTCCGAGGGAGAGGTGAAAGATGAAGAAGTTAAAGGAGCAGCTGGAGGTCCAAAATATAACTTGAGAGACAAAAAAGGAAAACACCTTAAAATTTAAGGACTAAGTTGGACAGTGCTGTAAAAGAAATACTAACTCCAAAAGGACATTACTAATATATTAACTGCCTGGTTTGGAAGGATTAAGAAGAAACAGATGATTGTCCAACTGCAGAAGAAGTCCTAAACTTTGATATTGACTTTAACTTTAAAACTAAAAGACTAATATACTAATATTTAACATCACTCAATACTTTTCTTTGTCCCTCTATTAACCCTTCCTATTTTTCTAAACTATAAAAGCAGAATTTCTCTCCTTTTTAGGAGAGGGAAATAAAATAATAATTAAAAAAAATAAAAGAAGGCTAGGTGTGTTTTATATGGAATACGCAATGCAAACACATAAAACTGGGTTGGAAGATAACGCCATAACTATGACGGTGTTCTAAATTTCTCTTGTTTCCCATGTACTGCTCCTCTTCCAGTTGGTGGAAAGTCTTTACAAGAGCAAACAGTCTTTTCTTCTGTTGACCCAAAAGTCTGTGTGGCACTAAGCATCAGATCAAAGGTTCCATGTTTCTTTGGGAAGTGCTCTTCCACCTCACCATTTCTTTCAGGGCCTCTTTCACCTTCTCATTCCTCAGGCTATAGATGAGGGGGTTCAGGAACGGCGTGACCACTGCCGTTAACACTGCCACCACTTTGTTGAATTCCAGGGCAGAGCTCTGTGCTGGCTGGGCATACATGAAGATGGAGCTGCCATAATAGATTGTCACCACAGTGGCGTGTGAGGCGCAGGTAGAGAAGGCCTTGCGCCTCCCGGTGGCTGAGGGGATCTTAAGCACGGTGGAGATAATGTACATGTAGGAGACCGTGATGACCACGAGGGTGCCCACGAGCATAACGGAGGCGAGAACCACGTCCACGAGTTCGATGAGGCGTGTGTCAGAGCAGGACAGCTTCAGCAGTGGAGTGCTGTCACAAAAAAAGTGGTTGATGACATTGGGGCCACAGTACGGGAGCTGGGATATCACCACTGTCGGCCACAGGATGTGCACAAACCCACCCAGCCAGCAGCCAAGTACCAGGGAGATGCAGACGCGGGTGTTCATTATGGCAACATAGCGCAGTGGGTTGCAAATGGCCACATAACGGTCGATGGACATCACCGCCAGGAGGAGCAGCTCCGTGGATCCCAGGAAGAAATAGAAGTGACACTGAGCGATGCAGCCGGAGAACGAAATAGTCTTCCTCTTGGCCAACAGATTGGCCAGCATCTTGGGGATAATGGCTGAGGTGAAGAAGATCTCCAGGACAGAGAGGTTCCCAAGGAAAAAATACATGGGGGTGTGCAGGCGAGGGTCGGTCACCACGACAGAAATGATGATCAGGTTTCCCAAGATGGTGAAGGTGAAGATGACAGAGCAGACGGCAAAGACGGAGACCTCCAATACGCGGACCTGAGGAAAGCCTAGCAGAATGAATTCCGTCACCACTCGGCCAAGGCTCTGGTTGTCATTCGCCACCGGTGTGTTCGGTCTGTGCTTCATTCTAGTAAACCAACAAAGACAGCGTCTGAGGGGAGTAAAAATGATTCACATCAGGACACTTGGGGAAATAGACATCCCACGCAGGTATTCCAGGCTGGAAACTGTACCTCACGTTTAAGGATGTTGTTAACAGCGAGCAATGAGTATGACAGAACCTGTCATGTAAAAAGTCTGCTCAGTTACTAAGGTCTTAGTTCTTGTCCTAAAAAGGTCCCTGTGCAGTGCTTTTAAAAAGGCTATCTTTTTTTAAGCCCCTGGAGGGGATTTTTTATTGATTTTTTAAACACTACAAAAACTAGAACAGAAAAAAGGGAAAGGGAAAGCTACATATAAGGGAGAAAGTAAAGAACCCACTACTAACTAAAAACCCAAGAGAGGAGATCTCCAACTAGCTTTTTATACTTCATTCAGACTTTTCATCTTTGTACTTCTTATGAACTGTGTCAAGTGACGGGCCGCAGGGCTCTTTTTGTAGCAGGAACTCCTTTGCATATTAGGCCACACACCCCTAATGTAGCCAATCCTCCAAGAGCTTACAGAGCTCTTCTTACAGGAGCTACTGTAAGCTCTTGGAGGTTTGGCTACATTAGGGGTGTGTCGCTTAATATGCAAATGAGTTCCTGCTACAAAAAGAGCCCTGCTTTTAACCCTTTTAACCATCCCCAGTTACATTTAATTGCCCAATAACAGTGCCCCCCATCATTCCCTAGAACCAAAGTTCTCAAAGGCACAATTCAGAGTCCTTCAGCCTTTACTTCTTCTTCTCTCTCTTCCGCAGTTTATAGGAACTTTTTGGGGAAAAGGCTATCTTGAATACAAAATTCCAGTGGATGTTACAGGGCCATCCTAAAAGACTTTAAGATGAAGAGATGTCTCTTGCCGTAAGTTTTCATACACAACAAGACCCAAGCATTTTTTTTTTGGGGGGGGGGAACCATCAAGTCAGTGCCTACTTATAGCAGCCCTGTGGGGTTTCCAAGTCAAGAGACATTCAGGACGGTTTGCCATTTCCTGCCTCTGTGTCACAACCCGGAACTTCCTTGGTGGTCTCCCATCCACATACTGACCAGGACCGACCTTGCTTGACTTCTGAGATCTGACAAGACAGGGCTAGCCTGGGCTTTCTAGATCAGGGCATAAACAGATATTGTTTACCTATGCAATACAAAAATATGCCTTAACTACAGAACTCCCCTCCTTCCTAAAATAGTTTTAAGAGGGTAACCATGGCCCCGTTCACACGGCAAGCCATGATCGAATGGCAGAGTTTCCGGGCACAATCACACCGCAACATCTGGCAAGTGGAGCGCACCCGTGGCCAACCCGTGGCGTATCACCGAAAATACGGAGTTAAAAACTACCTGGTCGAAGGTACTAGCGACCGGTTTGCCACGGGCTGCCTCCGGACTCCCTCGGTGTGATTGTGCCGGCGCGCTGCTTTTCCCTCCAGCCCCTCGTTGACATGGAGTGAAGGAACCGTGGCATGCTGCCAATGCATGGGATCGCATTCTGGCACGTTAAATTGCGCCACCACAAATAGCCACGCCCCCCCCCGCGTTATCCGGCCCGTGTGACCGGGGCCCATGTTGGTCTATGGTAGAAGCACTGGATTCTAGTCCAGTAGCAACTTAGAGACCAACAAGATTTTCGGGTGTTATCTCTCAAAAGTCAAAGTTCCCTCTGTCAGACCTGACCTTTGTGGAATAAGCTTCCGTGCTAGCAGAGGAACAGTCTCTTGGGATGTGGCGCTGAATACTTAGCTTCAGATGTCTACACAGCTGTGACGTTTACTCACTAGCCTTGGAGCAAACTGTTCTCAATCTGAGTTACCTCACTGGTTCCTATTTTTGAGATGACAAATTGACCTAACGAGTATAATCGCACTTTGTTTATGAGTGTCCCAATGAAGTGGTAAATAGACTGAAGATTATGGGGTTCCTGCTCTCTAAAGGCAGGGTTTCCCATCCTGTGGGTTAGGAGTCAGACCTCAAAAGTGGGTTGCCAAGCCTCTGAAAGTGGCTCATGGACCAGAGCCTGATGGCTGCTCCTTCGCTTTGCATTCTTCTTTCTCTCCTTGGCTGATTCTGCATTGGCTTTTCCCTCCATTGTTTTACCAAACCCACGCTGAAACAGAAAAAGGTGCAGTTCAAAACCACTTTCAAATACCCCAGGGCAACGCTGTACTGACTGCGAAGTCACACCTGAATGGCCAGTGGCCAATGCAGAAGTTAAAACCGATGATCAAGGAAAGCGAAAGCGGAATGAAGTGTAGAGGGTACCATAAGATCTGATAATCAAAGGAAGTGGTATGCAATGCAGAGAGGAATTTCTGTTCCGTTGTGGGTTTGCTACAACAACAGAGGGAAAAACCAATGCAGAATCACCCCTTGTCTTCCTTCTCAATGTCTCACATCCTCACCTTCCACCTACCTTCACAGCGATAAAGGGGGAAAGTCTGTCCAGCAGCTTCCAGCTTTTAGCTGGAAGGAGGGGAAAATGGAATGCCACTTCCTCCTGGGCAGTTGTTCCCTTTGTGCGATGTTTGTGGGTTTCTCGACATCTGATTGGCCACTGCAGAAAATGCATAAGAACATAAGAGAAGCCAGTGTTGGATCAAGCCAAAGGCCCATCCAGTCCAACACTCTGTGTGTCACACAGTGGCCAAAAATAACAGGTGCCATCAGGAGGTCCAGTAGTGGGGCCAGGGCACTAGAAGCCCTCCCACTGTTGCCCCCCCCCCAAAGCACCAAGAATACAGAGCATCACTTGCCCCGGAGTCCCTATCTATACCTTGCGGCTAATAGCCACTGATGGACCTCTGCTCCACATGTTTATCCAATTCCCTCTTGAAGCCGTCCATGCTTGCCACCTCCTGTGGCAGTGGATTCCATGTGGGTGAAGAAGTACTTCCTTTTATCTGTTCTAACCTGACTGCTCAGCAATTTATAGTGGTTCCCGACTAGACGGGCAACAAGGTCATAGTTCACCTTGGATGCCAAAAAAGTGGGGCTGCCCCTGGATGGGTTAACACACCAAGTAAATGTTTACTTGAGGGTCACCATACCAAAAAGGTCGGGAACCGCTGTTCTAAAGGGACACCCTGTTCAGGATTACCTTCTGGCTCACTGCGGGCTTGAAGGAAATCATTGTGAAGCTCAGAGGTTTGCAGGGACCCTAGACTGGCAAGAGCAATCCTTAGAATGGATTAAGCTTCTGTGCACAGTGGGGAGTGGCTCAGTTTCCACCTGTGTAAAAACTGGTTTTCAGGACAAGGCCAGCACTTAGAACCCAGAGATGGACGCAGACTGCTTTTTTAAAAATAGGGTGCAGATGTGTCCACTGAAACAAATGGGTACTGTCAGTTCACACAATCCCGTTTGGATCATCCTACCTTGCCTCCTACTCAATGGGTGATGGATGCTGTCCGAGGCGATTGACTGACCATCCGGTTGCATGTTCTTACATCCATGTGCATGCACAGAGCCCCAACTGCACATGCACATGTTTGAGTCTAGTAGAAAAGAGCAAGAGTCCAGTAGCACCGTTAACAAAATATGTGGCAGGCTATAAGCTTTTGTGAGTCATTGCTCACCTCTTCAGATACTTCT